CCTATAATGTTCTCTTGATCAGTATGATTGGCTAATATTCCTGTCAATGGGATAATGCACCTTTCACGCTCACAACAGGATGGTAAATCAGTCTAAATGGGTCAGACTGCTGTAAATGGATGGGTTAATCACAGAGCACAGATAATACGTGACTTTTAGTCTTTTAGAGAGCAATCAGCTGTTTCTTTTTTCTGAATATTATTGTTGACTAATGGTCTGAAAAGGTGACTTAAAAGGATCGTTCGCCCAAAAATTTAAATTCTGTCATTAATTAATCACCCTCTTGTCGTTCCAAACCCATAAGACACAAATTAAGATATTTTTGAGGAAATCCGAGAGCTTTCTGAGCTTCCATAGACAGCAATGCAACTGAAATGTTCCAGAAAGGTACGTTGTTAAAATAGTCCATCAGTGGTTCAACCTTAATTTTATTAAGCTCCGAGAGTAAAACAGAAAAACAACTTCATTCAACAATTTCTTCTCTTCCTTGTCAGTCTTCAAGGCACATTCACAAAAGTACCGCGACACATGGTTATTGGAAGCAATATAAAAATAAACATTAAGATTTTAAAGGGTTACAATAATTATTATGTTCATCATTTTTGATCGCTAATTGTTTAGTCAGAACGGTAGAGGCCTGTTCTCCTTCATCTTCTCTTCTAGCTAGTTTTTGCTCTGTGCCACAGTGTCCAGCTCAGTTTCTTTTTCTGCTGGCAAAATAGCAAGAGCTTTCAAAAAACATATACAATGGCTTTATTAATAACAGGAGATGACCGTCGGCCTGCCAGTTTGGCACAACTTGCGTTGTCGTTTTGTGAGTCGGAGCCCAGCGTCTCTCCTTCTCTTTCTCTCAGGGCTGAGAAGTGTGATTGCAGCAGACGGATACATTGACATAAGGGAATACTCAGGAGTGATCACAGTTCTTATCCTCCACAGAGAGAAGGAAAAGAAGAGAGAGAAAGAGTGCAGTTCCTCCCCTGTGGCCTTGTTTCCTTTCCTAGTGAAAGCGTCTGACATTTCTTCAATATGGTGCCTTTGTCACAGTCGTGCCCCCCGGTTTATTGATCACTGCCTCTGCATGGCCCCTCATAACACTCAAACAGATGTACACACAGCTAATGGATTAGTTTGCTCAAAAATTAAATATTTGTATTTAATCTGACATATGGTGAGAAAATTATAACAAAGTAATTTTTGAGTGAACTGTTCCCTTATACTGTATGTACTATAAGGTCGGAAGAAAACCAACCGGCCTTCTCAACAATAGCGTCTAGGAGAGACTGGTGTTTTTTCTTAGGACATGTAGTTGAGTGATGTCAGGTAGTAGGCATATTTTCTGCATGCTGTTCTTTAGTTTTTGTTGTTTACTTTACTTGTTGTATACTGACAAATACTGCTCACATGGTTTTCTATATATGGTAACAAATACTCTTTCACAGGTATGTTTGTCATGATTAATCGTGTTTTCAGCATCTGTCGTCTCAATATGTGTGGATAAAAACTATTGTCATATTATATACACACAGAAACTAAATGATCGTAACATGTATGATTCATACATGTATACATGTTTTGAGGTGCAGGACCTTATTTGTCAAAAATAGAAATGCATGTGGTGTTTTCAGCATCTGTCGTCTCAATATGTGAGGACATGAACACATGCACTTCATCTCCAGAGCTGCTCTGAGAGTTACATCATGAGCATTTCATGGTTTCATTTGATAAATCTATATTGTCATATTATATACACACAGAAACTGAATGATCTTCATGATAACCCAACAAAATAAAAGTTTGGTTAAAAAAATACATTTCAGATTAATAATAGTCTTTTTTGAGGAATTTTTCATTCATTTCGTTAATTTTGAGGAGCAGCACCTTAATTGTCAAAAACAGAAATGTAATGTTTTGTTGTAAATTATATCTTAATTTGATCTCGTTGTAAGAGAATGTTTCAGTTCTTAACATTTTATAAATTAATTTCATTAGACACCATTTTTGTTGATACATTTGTCTTGAATCATACAGAATTTCAGAAAAATAAAATAAAATAAAATAAATTTCATGGGGCCCAAAATTAAAATGTATAAAAGTTCATTCATTCTTGAGGTCTAAAAACATGTGGAATGCATTTTTCCCCATTAGTGATATAAAATTAATATTGTGTATTGCATGATATGAAAAAATATATGTATTACGATAATATTTTGTCCATATCACCCAGTCTTACTTCATCTCATTTGAATCATTAGTAACCATTACAATAAGCTTATAGTTTTTGACATTAATTGACATGAACTAACAATGAACAATACTTATAAAGCATTAATTATTTCTTAGCTGATGTTAATCTCAGCATTTACTAATACATTTTATTACATGCTGTAAAATATGTTGAGTTGGTTAATACTTTAACTAATATTAACAAAATTAGGTCTTATTGTAAAGTGTAACTGAACCATTTTAAACATCTCTCAAAAGCACCATTTATAATAGTGGAAAATTTTGCACCCGAGTGAGTGAGTGAGTGAGTGCACAATGTTGAGTAATATTCTATTCTAATTCTATTCTTTAAAAAACTTGCCCCTTTTAGACTTGCACTCTATTCATTTACTAAGTGCTTGTTTTATAAAAAAACACTAAAACTAGCTTCTCTATTCTTTTTGTATTCTATTTGTTTTCTTTTATTTATTATACAATGAACAAAAAGCAAAAAAGGGCTCTAACACTAGCTTGCTCTATTCTTTTTCTATTCTATTTGTTTTCTTTTTATTTATTTTGTTGTTAAAAAAAATCTTGCTACGTGTATTGCGTTAGTTTAACTTAGACTCGTTATAGCACTTGCATATCATTGCTCTTTTGTTGATTTTGATTGCTTCCATTGTCCTCATTTGTAAGTCGCTTTGGATAAAAGCATCTGCTAAATGACTAAATGTAAATGTAATGTAATATATTGAATAATGGTTGAGAATGTGCATTTGTGTGTGTTTTTGCAGCAGGAAGCTGTGAGAATGAGGAGCGCGTGTTTCGTGAACGCATGCGTCCCAGGAAAAGGCAGGGAGCCGTCCGGAGGAGGGTGCATCAAGTCAACGGACACAAGTTGTACACACAGCTAATGGATTAGTTTGCTCAAAAATTAAATATTTGTATTTAATCTGACATATGGTGAGAAAATTATAACAAAGTAATTTTTGAGTGAACTGTTCCCTTATACTGTATGTACTATAAGGTCGGAAGAAAACCAACCGGCCTTCTCAACAATAGCGTCTAGGAGAGACTGGTGTTTTTTCTTAGGACATGTAGTTGAGTGATGTCAGGTAGTAGGCATATTTTCTGCATGCTGTTCTTTAGTTTTTGTTGTTTACTTTACTTGTTGTATACTGACAAATACTGCTCACATGGTTTTCTATATATGGTAACAAATACTCTTTCACAGGTATGTTTGTCATGATTAATCGTGTTTTCAGCATCTGTCGTCTCAATATGTGTGGATAAAAACTATTGTCATATTATATACACACAGAAACTAAATGATCGTAACATGTATGATTCATACATGTATACATGTTTTGAGGTGCAGGACCTTATTTGTCAAAAATAGAAATGCATGTGGTGTTTTCAGCATCTGTCGTCTCAATATGTGAGGACATGAACACATGCACTTCATCTCCAGAGCTGCTCTGAGAGTTACATCATGAGCATTTCATGGTTTCATTTGATAAATCTATATTGTCATATTATATACACACAGAAACTGAATGATCTTCATGATAACCCAACAAAATAAAAGTTTGGTTAAAAAAATACATTTCAGATTAATAATAGTCTTTTTTGAGGAATTTTTCATTCATTTCGTTAATTTTGAGGAGCAGCACCTTAATTGTCAAAAACAGAAATGTAATGTTTTGTTGTAAATTATATCTTAATTTGATCTCGTTGTAAGAGAATGTTTCAGTTCTTAACATTTTATAAATTAATTTCATTAGACACCATTTTTGTTGATACATTTGTCTTGAATCATACAGAATTTCAGAAAAATAAAATAAAATAAAATAAATTTCATGGGGCCCAAAATTAAAATGTATAAAAGTTCATTCATTCTTGAGGTCTAAAAACATGTGGAATGCATTTTTCCCCATTAGTGATATAAAATTAATATTGTGTATTGCATGATATGAAAAAATATATGTATTACGATAATATTTTGTCCATATCACCCAGTCTTACTTCATCTCATTTGAATCATTAGTAACCATTACAATAAGCTTATAGTTTTTGACATTAATTGACATGAACTAACAATGAACAATACTTATAAAGCATTAATTATTTCTTAGCTGATGTTAATCTCAGCATTTACTAATACATTTTATTACATGCTGTAAAATATGTTGAGTTGGTTAATACTTTAACTAATATTAACAAAATTAGGTCTTATTGTAAAGTGTAACTGAACCATTTTAAACATCTCTCAAAAGCACCATTTATAATAGTGGAAAATTTTGCACCCGAGTGAGTGAGTGAGTGAGTGCACAATGTTGAGTAATATTCTATTCTAATTCTATTCTTTAAAAAACTTGCCCCTTTTAGACTTGCACTCTATTCATTTACTAAGTGCTTGTTTTATAAAAAAACACTAAAACTAGCTTCTCTATTCTTTTTGTATTCTATTTGTTTTCTTTTATTTATTATACAATGAACAAAAAGCAAAAAAGGGCTCTAACACTAGCTTGCTCTATTCTTTTTCTATTCTATTTGTTTTCTTTTTATTTATTTTGTTGTTAAAAAAAATCTTGCTACGTGTATTGCGTTAGTTTAACTTAGACTCGTTATAGCACTTGCATATCATTGCTCTTTTGTTGATTTTGATTGCTTCCATTGTCCTCATTTGTAAGTCGCTTTGGATAAAAGCATCTGCTAAATGACTAAATGTAAATGTAATGTAATATATTGAATAATGGTTGAGAATGTGCATTTGTGTGTGTTTTTGCAGCAGGAAGCTGTGAGAATGAGGAGCGCGTGTTTCGTGAACGCATGCGTCCCAGGAAAAGGCAGGGAGCCGTCCGGAGGAGGGTGCATCAAGTCAACGGACACAAGTTCATGGCCACCTACCTGAGACAGCCCACCTACTGCTCGCACTGCCGTGACTTCATCTGGTGAGTCCCGCAGTGGCCGTCGCCTGGTATTTACAGCCCTGTAGCGTGCTGTTTGTACAGCTGTGTGCGTTGGTAAATCTGCATCTGAGTTTTGACAATGACATAACCAGTGTACACTGTCCCTCCTCACGGGTGGTTTACCCTCAGTGGGCTGCATTTCCATGGTAACTACAGGAAAAGCCCTGAGGCTCAGAGCAACAATATGAGCGTATTGAGTGCGTCTGGCCTCCTCCACACTGCGCAAGAACACCGCCATGCACAGGCACGCTGTGTCCCGCCTCTCTAGAGAACAGAGGAATATGGCTGTTTTAAAAAATAAGGTGCAGAGCTGATGTGTGGGACTAAAACTGAAAGACGAGCAGTGAATAACAACACACACATCACGAAATCTACAATTAATTAAAGGTTCACCCAAAAAAGGATATTTCCTAAAAATGTACTCACCCTCAGGCCATCCAAGAAGTAGATGACTTAGTTTATTCATTTGAAAAGATATGGAGAAATGTAGCACTGCATCACTTGCTCAGCAATGGATCCTCTGCAGTGAATGGGTGCCGTCAGAATGAGAGTCCAAACAGCTGATAAAAACATCACAATAATCCACAAGTCATCCACACCACTCCAGTCCATCAGTTCATGTCTTGTGAAGTGAAAAGCTGTGTGTTTGTAAAAAACAAATCCATCATTTTTAAACTGGCTAAAATACAAGTCCTCTCTCATTAATATTGCTTTCACCAGTGAAAAAGTCGTCTCATCTGAATCATGAGAGAAATATGCACATATCAAGCACAAGTGGAAAGTGGAAACAGTCCAAACTATAGTTCTGAACTAATATGTTGGTGGATTTTGATGTGAGAGGACAACGGGGGTAGACCTTTTCACTGGAGGAGGCATCACTATGGATTATGGAATCATATTTTGGACAAAATACATGATTTCAAGTAAAAATGCCTTAATGATGAATTTGGAAACATGCAGCTTTTTTTTTTTATTTCTCCATGTCATATGTTTTGTTCAACAGTTTAGACAATTTGTTAGCTCGTAAAAATGTTAGCTACTCTAAATCAAAAGCAACAAAACACATGTGAAACGTCATCCTCATCATGTAGCACTTTTCCATACACCAACAGTTCAAAGTGAATGCAGCCATTTATCTAACGTCACCATGATGACTCGTGCATTATTCTTCAAAGTTCTGTTTTCCACAGAATAAAATAACATCATGCATGTGCGTATTCTGCGTAAATAATAACAGTTGTTGTATTTTTTGATGAACTGTTCCACAAAATACATGATTTCAAGTAAAAATGCCTTAATGATGAATTTGGAAACATGCAGCTTTTTTTTTTCCAAAAGATGTTAACTGATGGACTGGAGTGGTGTGCATTACTTGTGGATTATTGTGATTTTTTTTATCAGCTGTTTGGACTCTCATTCTGACGGCACCCATTCACTGCAGAGGATCCATTGGTTATCAAGTGATGTAAGGCTAAATTTCTCCAAATCTGTTGGGAATGGGATGAGGAAACAAATTCATCTACATCTTGGATGACCTGAGGTTGAGTACATTCCATTTTGCATAATCAAGTTGGAAACACTTTGTCAATAAAATGCAATTGCTAACGTTAACAGATACAACTTTTTTTTTTTTACAAATTTTAAAATGCTGATAATGCTGTAAAATTAAGGTTCATTGTTATGTCATACTACTGAATGTAGTTGACTATATGTTAACAAATGAAAATATATTTAAAGTATTAGCATAATGTCTATAATGATAAAGTAGGAAGAGCACCTTTTTCAAGGTCACTTGCAAACACCAAATGCAAGTAAAAATTGGATGAGGCAAACAAAGCTATTCATTAGATGACTAATAACTTGAAATTGTCAGTTCAAAAGACAAACTTTCCTCAGTGGAATATGTACCATGCTACAGTACGTTTATGCATGACGCTCTCTCTCTCGCTCTCTCTCTTACATTTGGTGACAAATCACAGTGTCTTCATATTTACATCACAGAGAGACTCTTTCCTCATGTTCAAAAACATACAGGAGAACTGATCTCTCTTGCTTCTCTTCACAGGGGTGTATTAGGAAAGCAAGGGTATCAGTGCCAAGGTAGGCAAATACCATATTTCTCCATGTCATATGTTTTGTTCAACAGTTTAGACAAATTTGTACAGTGTCCCAACTTTTTTGGAATTGGGTTTGTAAACTAAATATTTCTCATCAAATTTATCCTAGAGTTACATGTGCTATCCACATACATTTTAAACAATGTATTTTTTTCTTTATTATTTTCAATATTAGGAAATATCCATTAAATCTCATGAGCTAAAGAGCAACACCTGAACTGGTGTGAAAAATTATACCATGTTTTTACTGTTATAAACAACATTACTGTGTAGTCTTTATCACATGGGTGTTAATACCCACAATTGTAAGATTATAATATTTATTTTATTTTATTTGGGGGGGGGGGATCTGAAGTGAACAGCTTCACTTGTTTTAAAATGCTTGCTAATGCTGCATAAACGTCTTCCTGATCCTCTATCGTCCCCTACAGGTGGGATCTCAGCGCTTCAGCGTCAATATGCCTCATAAATTCAGAATTCACAACTACAAAGTCCTGACCTTCTGTGACCACTGTGGCTCATTACTGTGGGGCCTGCTGAGGCAAGGGCTTCAGTGCAAAGGTGAGAGCGGCATTCTGGGAAATGTAGTTAAAGTGCTCTCCCAGGAAAAGCTTGAAATATCAGGGAAATTGAAATTAGTTGATAATTTCATGGAATTTGTATAGAATTTTCTGTGGTCAGTGCACGTTTCTTTAAAATATTTTTGTCGGCTGTATTTTTGAGTGCTTGTGTAAAACTGCCCATTAGTCTTATAGTTTATTATTTAATATATTAATTTAAAAAAATGGTAATATGCCCAGAAATATAACCCAGTGTTATTTTAGTATAATTTGGATTTTTTTATTTTTCAGCAGTTTTTATTATTATTTTAAATTTGGTTTTATAATTTTTGTTTTCGTTTTAATTTTTATACAAATTTTAGTAGTTTAATGTGTGGTTTCGTCCTTTTTATTATTTTTTTAAAATTGTTAAAAAATGTTTTTTCCAATTTTAGTAGTTTTAGTTATTTTAGTAAAGCAGCCTTAAATGAAAATGGGAAATGTTATCTTGGCAATTATCTGAAATAAGTTTAAGTTTTTTAATATATACTTTATTTTATTTCAGTTCAGTTCTGTTTTTAAAATGTATAAATATATACATTATATATATATATATATATATATATATAAAAAAGAAAAAAGTTACTTGAAATAAAATTAGCACTATAGTAGCAAAGTTAACAATAACAAATAACAAAGCACTATAGGTTTGGTTTTAGTTAACTATAATATCCCTGCTTTAACCCTGAATCTTCCAAGTTTCAAACATACTCACACTGACATGCATTGAAATACACTGTAAGTTCTCATGCCTTCTCGCTTCATTTTTCTGTCCTCAGTTTGTAAGATGAATGTGCACAAGCGTTGTGAAAGTAATGTAGCTCCTAACTGTGGGGTGGACGCCCGGGGCATCGCTAAGGTGCTGTCTGACCTCGGAGTCACTCCAGATAAACTCTCCGGCAGTGTCCAGAGGAGAAAAAAGGTGAGACTGAGAAGTCAAAAGCCTCCTCCATGCAGCTGTAGATAATAGGAAATACACTCTGATGATTACTAATGACATAATGGCCTTTACAGCGAGCAGCACTTAGGTACCTGATTAGGCCTCCTGAAACATAATGATGATTGAATGATGAAGATGATTTGTTCCTGTTTTTAACACAGATCTCTCAGGGTCCAGATCCGCAGCCCTTACCCATATCCCCGCAGTCAGAAGAGGATCGATCCAAATCTGCTCCCACATCACCATGTGACCAGGGTAAACACACACTCGGAGCTCTGCAGATGACTCTTGGGTTAAATACAATAATCTTGACTTGTCCTTAAAGTGATAGTCCAAACAAAAATGAAAATTCTGTCATTTACTCACCCTCATGTCAATTCTAAACCTGTAAGACTGACTTTCTTCTGCGAAACATAATAGATGATGTATAAAGTTAGTTAGAAAACAGATTTGGTTCCCATTGACTTCCATTGCATTTTTTGTCCAAAGGGTGGAAGTCAATGGGAATTCAATTCAAAGTCATTTCTTGAAAATATCTGCTCTTGTGTTCAGCAGAACAAAGAAACTCAAACAGGTTTGGAATGACATGAGGGTGAGTAAATGATGGCTGAATTATTAGTTTTGGTATGCTTTTAAAAATATAATGAACTTAATGTGGAATTCTATGGGGTCTTTGTACCAAAATGTGAAGCTTGTATTTTGTCATGCAGTGGCTTTGTATGACAAACAAACTGAATTTTTAATCAAATCAGCTGGCCAATGGTCTAAAACAGACATATTCTGTTTAAAAGCTACTACTTCTATGATATGATGCTTTATTATCATTTTGGAGCTTGACAGCATATCATTCACTTTGTTATATGGAAATGAACCGCTGAGATATTTGGCAAAAATTCTAATTTTGTGTTCAGTGGATGAAAAATGTCATGGTTTGACAACCAGTGCTTTACAGATATGTGATTTCTGATCTGATATTCATCACATGGCTATATACAGTAACTTTGGACAGGCGCGGTTAGTAAGTAGTTTTTTCGCACTAGTCAGTGGCTGTACATTATATTTCAAAAATTTAGAATAGGTAAGATTTTCTTTTTTATGTTTTGAAAGAAGTCAAGCAGCCAAGGCTGTATTGCTGTAATTTGATCAAAAATACAGTAACAATTTTAATATTGTGTAATATTATTAGTTTTAAGTAAGTGTTTGTATATTGTAATATATTTTAAAATGTATTTTTTTCCTGTGATGTCAAAGCTAAATTTTCATTACTCCAGTCTTTAGTGTCACATCTTCAGAAATCATTCTGATATGCTGATTTGCTGCTCAAAAAACATCTCATATTATTATTAAAGTTGAAAACGGCTATGCTTCGTAATATATTTTTGTAATGGAAAGTTCCAAAATAACAGCGTTTATTTGAAATAGAAATCTTTTGTAATATTACAAATGTCTTTACTGTCACTTTGGGTCAATTTAATGCATCCTTGCTAAATAACAGCATAAAGAAATCACACTTTCAAAACTGGTGCTGTACTTTTACACTTTTTTTATTACATGCATTACAGTAAACATATTTTTTGGTTGATTTTACAACTGAAGGAGGAGAAAAATGTGACTCAATATGGGGTCTCATAGTGTGTAATGCGATTTTTCACTTCTTGTTTTGTGATCTGCAGATTTAAAGGACCTGGAGAACATCAGAAAGGCACTTTCGTTTGACCATCGTGGCGAAGAGCTGAAGCCAGCCTCGTCCTCCTCTCTGACCGAGGGCCTGTCAGAGGAGACAGGGGAGGCCAGAGAGAACGGAGAGGTGAAGACGCTCCAGACCAAAAGGATGACGCTGGAAGAGTTCTCCTTCATCAAAGTGCTCGGGAAAGGCAGCTTTGGCAAGGTGGAGCTCTGTGCAATTCTGCCCTCTATTTTCTGCATTAAAGGGATAGTTCACCCAAAAATTTAAATTTTGTCATTAATTACTCACCCTCATGTCGTTCCAAACCCGCAAAACCTTCGTTAATCTTCAGAGCACAAATGAAGATATTTTTGATGAAATCCGAGAGATTTCTGACCCTCCATAGACAGCAATGTAACTACCACGTTCAAGGCTGAGAAAGGTAGTAAGGACATCGTTAAAATAGTCCATGTGACATCAGTGGTTCAACCGTAATGTTATGAAGCTACAAAAATACTTTTTTGTGCAAAGAAAAGAAAAAATTACTTTTGTCAGCGATTTCTGCTGTAACTGCCATTTGTCAGTCCAATTATATTAGTAGTATGTGTGTTTATTTTAGTTTCATTGATATACTATTATAGTTTTCAACATTTTGAATCAGTTTCATTTTTATATTTTCGGTTTTCATCATATCTTCTTCTCAAGTAGCTTCATAAAATTACGGTTGAACCACTGTTGCCACATGGACTATTTTAACGATGTCCTTACTATCTTTTTGGGCCATAAAACGTTTCAGTTGCGTTGCTGCCTATGGAGGGTCAGAAAGCTCTCTCATGTCGTTCCAAGGGTCAGAAACTATCCCTTTAAGTACCAGTTTTGTTTCCTGTCAGCAGTGTGAATATAGTTTGGTGTCGTTTGTTATAAAGGCCTGGTTGTCTTCTGTACAGGTGATGCTGGCAGAGTTAAGAGGCACTGATGAGGTGTATGCGGTGAAAGTGTTGAAGAAAGACGTCATCCTGCAGGACGATGATGTGGACTGCACTATGACTGAGAAACGCATTCTAGCACTGGCCAGAAAACACCCTTACTTGACCCAACTCTACTGCTGCTTTCAGACCAAGGTAAGAGACCGTGTTTCTGCTCTAGAGTCAGCTCATCCTCATTACAAACTCTTAAATAATGAGCAAAGTTAACAATGAAGGCAGTCACTACATAACAAGATATTCTGCCTATTTAGGAATTATGTTTTGCAGAATGCCACTAGATGGAGCTGTAATATTACATGATGTCAGGTATTCAGAAAGCAACTCTTGATTGTAGCTTTGATGCTCATTTGTCCCATTTTTGGAGATCGGACAGCAGTTTAGCTCTTTATCTGAAGAGGGCAAGATTGTGGCTTGGGGAATAACCACAAAAACAGGCCAATTAATCAGGGATGAATTTGAAATGTTTAGGCTTAAAATGTTACATTTGGATAGTCAGGTTTCCAGCTAACAAGGCTTTTAATTAAAATGAAAACCAGCCATAAAAACAGAAAGGTTCCTATATTGAAATGAGAACAATACAATAAATCTAAAGTAAACTGCTCAAATTAGCTGCTGTCATTTTGTGCGTTGAAATTGAATATGAATAAAAAAGAATACATATTTATCGATGTATTACCGTTTCTTCTTGTTATTAGAAGAACTATAAAAAGCACTTTAACCTACATGCACTTTTTTTCTTAAATTACCTCAAATAACTGACAGAAAAAAGACAAGCTCAAATACACAAAAATGCAATATAATCATTAAAAATACCAATCATCAATTAAATAAATATAAATATTTTGGATAGTCAGGTTTCCAGCTAAAATGCTTTTAATTCAAATGAAAATCAGCCATAAAAACAGAAATAGGTTGCTATATTGAAATGAGAATGATACAACATAACCTAAAATAAACTGCTAAAAAAAATCAGTCATAATTTTGCCTTGAAATAAATTGAAATAAAATATATGAATAACATGAATACATATTTATTGATGCACTCCCATTCCTTCTTATCAGAAGATCTATAAAAAGCACTTTAACTTACATGTACTTTGTTTTTCTTAAATGACCTAAAATAAAAAAGGTCAGATATAAAAAAATATAAGCCTAATTGTAATCACGAAAAATGTCAAACATACAACAATTAAATAAATATAAATGTAAAATAATTGATTTACCAAATAAAACCAGAGTAGTTAAATAAAAACATACAGATAAAAGTAATAAAGCCAACAACTAAAAAGCTATAATAATGTAACCCTTATCAAGTTATGTAATTTTACTGAATATAATATAAACATATTTCCTGATTTTATAATGATTTTCAGGTCAGGAAAAGTCATGGTCATTTTTATACTGACAATAAATTTATACAATTATGTTTAGCTCTGAAATATTTATGTAATTATTGTTCTTTGTGAATGTGTTCTACAATGTTGATTTTTACAAATCTCTATCCAATATCCAGTTATGGTGATTTAGTGAACAAAATGTGTGTGCACCCATTTCATAAGATACATCCGTCTCAGTCAGTTAAGTATTATAGATGGTAAATGAATTATTTATTGCAGTGACTCGTCATAATTCTGAATGTTCTTATCCATTCTGCAAACTGTTACTGGATCAGCCGAACCCTGCCGCTGATCACACACACACACACACACACACACACACACACTTGGTCAGGTTGTCTGTTCCCTGACACAGAAGGGCAAGCATCTGTTTGAAGGGAACATTTCTTTTATGGTCTATAATAAGCCCACATCAGATAAAGCCTCCGCATTAGGTCACCATTCTAATTCCCGTTCGGTCTCTCTCGGTCTGCTGGTGTGATAATTGTTTTAGATTTGCGGCCAGGCCTAACCTCACATGAACATCATGTTTATTTTCCTCCACTAAAACCTGGAGTCAGCCATCATGACGGCATCCTCCACTCCTCTAATTTATTTACTTCAGCAGTTTCCCCAAACAAGCGAAAAGAACATTGTGTCCTTTTCTGCGAACACGAGTGGGAGGAGGTGGGGAAGAGGGAGGAAAAGCCAGAGTGTAGGATGAAAGAAGGTTGAGAGGGTGGAGAAGATGACCTCTGAAAGCCCTTAACGACCTTAGCAGTGATGAGCTTTAACTCAAAGTGGCATTGAGGAATAGTCACCGTTATTTAATCACTTTATAGGGCGAGTAGAGCTGTGACAGAAAATGCTGGGGGAATGAGATCGGGAAACACATCTGCTGGATTCGTAATAATAGAGGAGCTGCTAATCCACAGCTACAGGTTTATTATAGGTATTTAACTCTAAACCTGAAACTAAAATTAAAAACATTTTTAAAAAAAAAACATTTTCATTACGTGAAACAAAATAAATGTTATCAGAAAAAAATGTATATAAATATATAAACTTTTTATTTCAGCTAGTTGCCAAAGCATTTCTTATTTTAATTTAGTGTAACTGAAACTGAAACTGAAATAAAAAATAATAAAAACAATATAGACATACTGTATGTACTGTATATACAAAACTATTAAAAATGACTTTGGCTTTAACATTTCCACCTTTATTTCTCAAAAAAGAAAAAAAAACAGAAAGACAGAAAAACAGCTCTTTATATACTATATAGGGTAAATTTTCAGAATGAATTCTATAATTAAACAGCCAACTTTAGGCTTTTCAGTCAAATTTAACATTGAAGCAATTATAATGGCTAAAAAATAATGAAACAGCAACAATGTAACCAAAAAGTAACATACAAAATAATCAAAAAAAATTTTTTTTTTTGGCAGCAGTAATTATTAACAGTTTACATTTGACAAAAATGTAACATAATTTGGGTTTTTGTTTGAACAACATGTCGAGATAATCCACATTTATGTTAATGAACCTTTGACTCAAAACCTTACAGTTGTGGAGATTATAGCCTTTTCACATCTCACTCCTGACAACTAACTCCTGTCCACCTTATTTTAAGAGCAGGTGAGGCTATTTGAAGGATGATATTTGGTATCATATTATTTCAATTCATTAATGTAATCATAAACACTTTGGTATATAGAGCAAGTAGTTTTAGCATTTACTGCACTTTGCTCTAGTCATTTACCTGTAGGAGGATATGCTTTTAATGTCCTGACATATAGCAGGAATACAATATATGAACAGTGTATCAGACTCATGCATGGCTGAAAATCGTGAAATAGTCATGTCATTTCCACTACATGATTTTTATGATGTTACAAAAGAAATATATTTCTAATAAATGCGGTTCTTTTAACATTTCCATTCATGAATGAATCCTGAGAAAAAAAAGTATCAGTTTCCATAAAAATATGAAGCAGCACAGCTGTGATAATAATATGAAATATTTCTTAAGCAGCAAATCAGCATATTAGAATGATTTCTGAAGGATCATGTGACTCTGAAGACTGGAGTAATGATGCTGGAAATTCAGCTTTGCATCACAGGAATAAATTACATTTTATAATAAATTCAAATAGAAAACATTTGACTGTGAAATTAATAATAAAACATTAGCATTAATTTACTAAGCAAAATAAGAAAAAAACAACAACATTAATTGTGTTTGTGTGTCTGTGTGTGTGTGTGTGTGTGTGTGTGTGATCTACAGTATTTAGAAAATGTAGTGTTTTAACCATGCTTAGACAATATAATTATTGGCATTTTTATCTGTAAACATTTTGACCTGAAGTTTGTTTTGGAGAGATTTGTTCTTGTGTTTATTTTGCACCAGAAGGCGGCGATTGCCATTAGCCTTAATGTGGTTCTGATGCTTATCGGGCATGATGTGTATTCCATATGCTGTTTGTTTTCTTTTCAACTCTCCCTCTCACACACACACACACACACACTTACTTCTTGCTTTGGCCCACTTGGACCAAATATTTTGCATTACAATATTTTGCTTATTACATATAATGACCAATGCAGCAACATCTGATGATCCATTATGTTAAATATATGAGGTAATTCTCTTAAATGTGAGGAAAATTCAACAAAGAAACAAAATGCAAGTCAGAAAATTGAGAAATTTTGGTCTGAAGTGTATAATAAATGATCTGTGGAGTATTTTGAGCTGAAATTTCACAGACACATTCTGGGGACACCAGAGACTTATATTACATATTGTAAAAAGGGGCATAATATATCTCCTTTAATTAAAATGAAAACCAGCCATAAAAACAGAAAGGTTCCTATATTGAAATGAGAACAATACAATAAATCTAAAGTAAACTGCTCAAATTAGCTGCTGTCATTTTGTGCGTTGAAATTGAATATGAATAAAAAAGAATACATATTTATCGATGTATTACCGTTTCTTCTTGTTATTAGAAGAACTATAAAAAGCACTTTAACCTACATGCACTTTTTTTCTTAAATTACCTCAAATAACTGACAGAAAAAAGACAAGCTCAAATACACAAAAATGCAATATAATCATTAAAAATACCAATCATCAATTAAATAAATATAAATATTTTGGATAGTCAGGTTTCCAGCTAAAATGCTTTTAATTCAAATGAAAATCAGCCATAAAAACAGAAATAGGTTGCTATATTGAAATGAGAATGATACAACATAACCTAAAATAAACTGCTAAAAAAAATCAGTCATAATTTTGCCTTGAAATAAATTGAAATAAAATATATGAATAACATGAATACATATTTATTGATGCACTCCCATTCCTTCTTATCAGAAGATCTATAAAAAGCACTTTAACTTACATGTACTTTGTTTTTCTTAAATGACCTAAAATAAAAAAGGTCAGATATAAAAAAATATAAGCCTAATTGTAATCACGAAAAATGTCAAACATACAACAATTAAATAAATATAAATGTAAAATAATTGATTTACCAAATAAAACCAGAGTAGTTAAATAAAAACATACAGATAAAAGTAATAAAGCCAACAACTAAAAAGCTATAATAATGTAACCCTTATCAAGTTATGTAATTTTACTGAATATAATATAAACATATTTCCTGATTTTATAATGATTTTCAGGTCAGGAAAAGTCATGGTCATTTTTATACTGACAATAAATTTATACAATTATGTTTAGCTCTGAAATATTTA